AAAAAAGATAACTTTGAGATTAACGATAAGCTAAAGGGCTGCGAGAAATGATATTTGACTTTATATTTTGCGTTAACTGATTCATTATCTAATAATATGCAACAAACCTTTTTGCTGAACCCAAATTTTTAACAAGAATTTCTCTTATTCGACTAGTGTGCTGTGGGTCACTTGGCGGTCGATGCGCGGGCTCTTACAATTAAAATAAAAGACTAATATTTTGCAAGCTTGTTCATGACACAATATATTTTCACTATTACCAAGGGATTTGAGAACAATTAGATTTTCGACCCGCCCTAATGTACATACATACTTACCTAGCATATAAGCTCTTATGCATTGAGTGCAAAAGAGTGTATTTTAGTACAAAACGAAATTAAGTTTTATTTTCCTCAATATTTCTTCCTTAGCACCAATAAAATAGTGTTTTATGTAATACATATATGTATGTACATACATGTGTATGTAATGTTGCATAACAAGCCCATTAATTCAATTATTAAATTAACTGATTTTATGAATTAATACAATTATTTGTAATTTTTTATGGAATCGGCATCGGCATCGGCTGATTCTTTCCCCATAAGCCGATTAATCGGCATCGGCAGCTGCACCTGAAAAAAAATTGGAATCGGTGGGACTCTAGTTGTAAAGCTCATACAGCTCATCGTTTCATCGCCAAAGCGTAAAGACCCGTAAATCTTCCGTTGTCATTGTCCATGCTTGTGCGCCATATGCCACATGAATTGGCTACTCAGTCCAAAGTAGCACTTGTAGGCAAGAGTGATTGGCTGACTTCCAAAATGTATATATGCAATGTATGTATACAGTTTGACTGCGGTGTGCATACAACGTAGTTATGCTTAGTTAGAATACACGGAAAAAATATGCTAAGTAAACTTTTATATTATGGAACACTTCTTATGCATGCACTTTTTCGCACTCTCATTCATTCTCTCCCGCGCCAAATATTTTGTTATTGGTTATCGACCGTTCACTTTGTGTTTCTCTCTCACATAGCAAGGCATCAACTTTTTTAGTGATGCCGTAAATACCTGTACGATGCGCTGTAACTACCGGCTTAGTACATTTTGGAATATAATGCTTAGTTAAAAAAAATACTGTTACAATACGGAACATGAAAGCTCAAACAGTCAACGACGTAACGTAGACGTAGGTTGACGTAGACACGATCTACCTTATGGGATTCGTGTGTTAAAGAAAACTCACCACCGCATGGCGGTGACGTTCCCATTGTTTTTCTCTCTCTCTATCAACAGTAAATTTGATATGCTGCTACGTACGTCAACCTACGTTTACGCTACGTCGTCGACTAACTGCACTTTAATGCTTACGACGTAGGTATACATTGCAAATGACATTATGGAAGTCAGCCATTCTGCTTTGGATTTCCATGCTGACATTGATATCGATGTTAATGCTGGTTGCCAAGTAAACAAAGTTCTCTACTTTCTCGAAATTATAACTGTCAACAGTGACATGGGTGCCAAGGCGAGAATGTGCTGACTTTTTGTTTGATGAAAGGAGATACTTCATCTGGTCCTCGTTTACCACCAGACCCATTCGCTGTGCTTCCTTATCCAACTTGGCAAAGGCAGAATAGACTTCGCGGTTTTTGTTACCGATGATGTCGATGTCATCGGCATAAACCAGCAATTGCACCCTATAGTTAGGGCTGCCAGATATCTCTGTTGCCAAACCGGGACACTTTAGGGAGGGCCACTCGCTCCCTTCCCTTTCATTTCGACGTGCGAAAGGATGCAGTGAAATTTTATTTTGACAGACAAAAA